AACACAAGAAACACACACAAAAACACACAAAAACATAACAAACAAATAGTAAATAATGTCAATATTTTTATATGATATAATTAAAAACATTCAACATGGGTTGACATTTTCATTTAATGTACGGGTGTTTAATTATTATGATAAAAATAATACAATTTGACAATTTAATTAAAACCCAAAGTAATGTTTTATATAAAATTAAATTATTTTGATTTTTAAGAAATAAAAAATTTAATATTTTTTTACAAAAGCTTTCTAATTCAACACCCGTGTAATACACGGGTATTACTAGTTTGCATTATAAGGATTTATAGTTTATTTAGCATACTCTGTAATGAAAATGTATTTTACAATAATTTCATTATAAAAAGAAATTAACAAAAAATGATAACAAAAACAATCATGGTTTCCAATAATATAAAAATAAATTCTAAGGAACAGTTAATATATTTTAATTTTAATTTTTATCATTAATAAAATTATTTAATGTATCTGGTCATTATCACTTAAATGGTAAATTATATTAATTTGAAAAATAATTTATTTTTTATATATAACAAAATAAAGAGTAAGAAAAAATTATATTGGCAAAGGTTAATTTACCAACTTGATTTCGCCTGATTAATTGGAAGAAAAAAATTCTATCTAACCTGTTATGATTTTCTATAGATATTTTTGGATAAAAAGTGATATTTTGTAAGAAAAAATAATATTATGGTTAGAACTTAAAATATGTTGCAATATTTATTTTGGCTAAAATATTATCAACGTTAACAGAAAATCAATCTTGTAATTTCGTATAGTGGATATTAATGAAATTATTTAAGGAAACAATATTTTTTTATCATATCTGATTTCATCTTATTTGAAAACATGTATATTGAACCAATTAATGCATAAATTAAAAAATTTCCAAAAAAAGGCATGCATTAAATGCTCCCAAAATTTTTTACTACTATTTTTAGTAAATGATTATTCTTATTATATAGATATAGATAGATATATATTATTGTTCCTACTGTAAGATGGGCTTTTGGACATATAAATTAGATCATATTTTCATGAACATGAGCATGAAAATTCGTATTATTTGATCACTTCAAATTCTTGCCAAAATTACTCTCGACTTTAGTAAAAATTATATACATAATTATCATAAAGTTTGAGCACGAGTATTTTGTGGTTCGGGATTCTCTTTGTTGCACACGAGAGTACCATCAGATTGTCGAATCTTGGGAGAAGAACATGCTATCAATTTGCCGGTGGAGTGTGGGCGTTTCTTCTCTAGAGAGAGCGGTACGACGTGCTTCTACCCAGACTCTTTTAAACTCCACTCCTTAAAATTTATCTTTGGCTATTCTTTTTTATTAAATTTGTTTCCTCCTAAATTACTAGAAATATTTTTCCACTTTTAGGCTTAATATTTCCAACAATTTTAGAGAAGAAATCATTTATTTGTATTAATTTAGGATTTATTGTATGTTGTCTCCAATATGAATTTTCTTAAGTCGTTGTCTAGCAAACCAGAAAAAAATGATGGAATTTTTTTTTTTTCTACGTTGGCAACAACAAATGAAATTTTGGTTGACTGAACAAGGACTTTCTGTAGTAATCCAGAATGGTAATAGTGATAAGAGTGGAAGTTATAGTAGTAGTGATCTTGGTGATAAGGATATTCTTTGTCATGGTAGAATTATAAGTGCTTTATACGCTAATATTTATCTCATTTTTTCACATACAAAAAATGCTTTAGAAATATGACTTGCTCACGATCATCGTTACGGTACTGCAGAAAAGGATTTCAAACGTGTTACTATAGATGATTGGTTAGACTTCCAAAGGTATATAATAGAATTTCACCATCAATTGGTTGAGTTTGACCATCTTATCAATGATATGAAAGCAAAAGGTACTGAACAAAGTAAGGTGGTATATGTTTCATCTTTGATTAAAAAATTACCGCCTTCTTAGTCTGATTTTGCTAGAGGTCTTAAGCATAAACCTGAAATTTTTTCTCTTGAAGAATTATTTATTTCTTTAAGAATTGAAGACAGGCATCGTTCTTCTCAAAAACTTGAGAAACCGCCTTTCCTAGCCAAAATTTTAGTTGTTGAAAATTCTCACAAACCAAAACCTAAGAATTTTAAGAAACTTGAGCACAAAATTTTGGTGGGAGTTCGGTCCAATGTTGTAATTGAATTTACAATTTATAATTATTGTTGAGTTTGATTCGTTAGCATCAAACGATAGCGACAACTAATGTTCTTTCCAACCTAGCTTCTCTAGGTCAAACTAAAGAAACTCCAATCTTGAACCAAGCTACATAAAGAGCACCGGTTCGAGATCGCGCTCTCTATGCTATATCAATTCCGCTAGCGACGATTCATTGTCATTATTCCCACCGCTAGGATTAAGAAAATGGGTGATGTATTTTTACACAACATATGAGGGCAATTATGTCTTTTTATAACTTTTTCAAAATAAAAAAGTACTAGTAAAATACCAGCGTATTACACGGGCGCTTGTTAAAAAAATATTCTTAAATTTTAAAACTAATGAGAAAAATTATTTTAAATTTTATTTACTTTTTTACAAAAAATATATATTATTATATATTTTAGAATGACATTTGTTACTTGTGAGACTTATATGTGTTTATAACTTATATCATATAACTACTTGAAATATAAATATATTGATTGATAAATAATTTTATTTTTGTAGTTAATATTAATAATAATTTTATTATTGTTATAAAGATAAATATAATTTTTATTTTTTATACATACAATATGGATGTTAAATCGAAGCTCATCAAGAGATGATTAATTTGGTATATTATATATGTAAAACTAATAAAAAATACAAAAGTTATTAACTTTTAAAATACATTTACAATTCAATGATTATAATAAGAAATGATATTAAAATGCAATTAATACATGTAACATGACCGTAAATAATCAACATATTTATGGATACTCCGTACCTAATTATTTTTTGGATTGAAAATAAATTAAAATATACCCAAAGCCTACCATTTAGTTTTGCCACATAGAATCCCAAAGTATACCTATCATTTAGACTAATCATGTTTTGAATTAATATATAGGGAATAGGGAATAGGGGATAGGGGATATATTCACCGAAATTACAATTTAGGATTAATTGGATCATCTCATGGTGTTGGATCAACTTATCCCAATAAAGATGGGGGTTTCTCATCCAATCATGAGGGTTGCCATCAATAATCCCAAACGTGATTAATTGGATTATGCCTTAAATCCTCTCGTAAACCACTAAACGAACTAGGCCCAAGTATATAACAACAAATTAAAAGAAAAATAATATGATTAATTGGCACAACAAGAAATTGGAGAAAAATAAAATAAATTATGAGTGCAGCATATCTATACTTATATAAAGAGCCATCTCATTCACTAGAATTAGTAGAAAGACAAGTCAAAGGTAATTAGTGCTTTTATTTCCATCAATTAATTTTTATTTAATTATTTTTATCCCATAAAATCGGTACAAAGAAAAAAAAAATGTACGTAAAACAAAAGAAAAGGCAGATTTGATCAAGATATAAAATCTTGATTTTACAAAAAATAAATCAGATGTCAAGCCTAAATTGAAGGGTTTGGTTATCTATATAGATATTGATGTATGTAAATCAATACATCTAATATTTATAGTTTGTGTAGATTTAAAATTCCTTCTTATCTTTGTACAAAAAATCTTATCTAATTGTATGGAAAATCTGATCTGATTTGTTCCTCTACATATAATGTGATTTCCGTATATCAAGATTTTTTCTTAAAAATCTTAACAGATTTTTTCCTACATATTATAAAACTTTTATTTAATATTGCATCTTATAATATAATATTTCCGAAATAAATATATCCCGTGTCTCGCATGGGTCACGTACTATATATATTCCGTACATTTTTCTTTATTCATGTATATAATTATAAGCATGGATAAATAGGTTTAAAATTGTGCACCCCGTGCATCGCACGGGCTCTGCACTAGTTTTTATATTAGAAAGAAAAAAAAAACTAAAAGTCATGAAAATGGCTCCACCATTGCGGGAAAAAAATGAATGTCAGTGTCATCATTGAAGACAATGTCTTCATAATTTTATCTCCAATGGACTCTGTCGTGGTTGAATATTTTGTGATGTGGAATGACTACTGTGAAGCGCACTGTTTAAAGGCAAACAATGTATTCGACAGGAAATGTTGGTATTTATCTGATACATGAAAATAACACGATTTATGTTTTAAAAATTAAGCCATGTTGTATTTAATTGATACATAAAAATACCAGAATTTTTATATTTTAAAAATTAAACCATTTTGTATTTACATTATTTACATGATACATGCACATAAAAATAACATTGAATGTAATTACATTTTTTATATTTTAAAAATTAAACTACGTATCAAAATTTGTATTTACTTGATACACAAAAATAACACGATTTGTATATTTTAAAAATTAAACCATTTTCTATTTACTTGATACATAAAAATAACAGTTAATTTCTTAAACTTCCAATCCACAATTCATCTTCCTTGTCAGTCCCTAACGCTTTTCATTTTCCTCTGCACTCCCTAATACATCTTTCTCTTTCCTCTCAACTCCTCATATAAATACTAATATTATTATTATTCATTTATTTTTTTAATCATAAAAAATAGGAAAAATCTCTCTCAATCGCCCCCTCTCTCTCTCTCTCTCAATCGCTCCCTTAATTCTCATCCCTCTCTCTCTGTGAAATCGCATCCGGGAAATAGGGATCTCCGGCGTCCGAATTGACACCCAGAAAGAGCTCGCGAGGCCCATCCACTACTGCAAGAGGATTCCCAGCCACCCGCAAAGCTGCGTCTTTCTATCGCCGGCGAACCTCTTTTTTTCTTCACTTTTCTCTGCCCAGGCCCAACTCTTTAATCTTTCTGGTGAAATTCTTTGGACCCATATTCCAATTTATGGAGAAAAAAACGATACTTTTGCTTTTCTTCACGTTTTTATTCAAACTAGGATATGATCAGCCATGTTATGTGTGCGTGTGTGTGTGCCTGTACGAGCGAGAAATTTTTCTGTGTTCTTTATTGAGTTAGTTTCTGATATAAAGACCGAATAAGTGGTTAACCCTGTGTTTGGTTCGGGGAAAGCATAGGGGAGGGGAGGGAATATTTTTATTTTCCACCGTTTGGTTCAACTTTTGGCAAGGAAGGGGAGTAGAATTTTCCCCTCCATTCTCCCACCCGAGGGAAAATCAGCTCCCCTCCAATTTTGGGGGCATTTGGAGGGGAAGTTAAATCTTACACTTTTTTGTACTAATATGTCCTTATCAATTCATTATAATAACAAAATTACCTAATATAAATAAAAACATAAGTAAGGGTATATTTATCCATGTAATTTTATTTTCCCTCCCCCTTCATCTTCTAACCAAACAAGGTTAATCATTTTCCTTCACTTCCCCTCCTACAAAATCTCTCCAAACAAGATAAAATTACATTCCCTCCATTCCCCTCCCCTCCATTAAATCCCCTTCCCTCCCCTTCCCTTCTTTGAACCAAACATAGCCTAAAGGTTTGATCTTTAGCTTTATGATTGTCAGAATTTTCTGTGGGCTTGCAAAAGGAAACACCTTTTTTGGATTGAGGTTTTGTGAATTGTTTCGGGTTTTTGTTGATCGATGTTTGCTGGGTTGTCTGATTATTAATTTTTATTAGTATTATTATTTTTATATTTATGGGATTTTTCTTTTATGGAGTTGTTTCTTACAAGAATTTTACAGTTGGTGTGGACAACTGAGTCTATTTTACCGTTTTTCGGGGGTTTTGATTTTGTTGCCCTTTTGTATGTTTGGTTTTCTATTTAGATGGGAAAGTTTGTTTATGAAGAGCAAATATGTACCAGAATGATTTTGATATTGCCTACTAAGAGAATTTGCAACCTCTAAAAAGAAAGTGTGTGTGAGCTTGAAAATTGAAAAAAAAAAAAAGTTATTCTCAGCTTCTAGATACTGCCACTGACCTAATGATTCCTGTTTTAACTTAGGTGATTCCGTAACTTTCAGTATTAACGATTATCAGAATTTTGTTAAGTTTGGCCTATAGATTTATTGTTCATTCGAATTAGTGATTATTTCCGTAGGATGGGATTCCTAATGGAAATTCAATCAACTCTTGTAGGTTTAATCCTAATTGCAGCTTTGTGGATATCCATGTTCTGAACTTGGGAACAGATTATCTCGACTGCTTTCTTGAAAACATCATATATGTTCCGATGGATTTAAATATAATGTAAATCCTAGGCTGGGAACATATTCCACTAGTTTGAGTCCATATGTCAGGATGTCGACGAATTTATGAGCAAGGTATTGTCTTTCCTTTTATACTCGAGGAATATTGTTCTTGCACACCAATGTCATTTGAATAAATGTATCAGTCCAAAAGATTGGACTAACCTTAATAAAATATCTGAGGTCGTAAATTTGCTCGAATTCAACAGGTCACCGTTAGATTTGTCGAGTGTCAGGTGCAAAGTGAATGGCTTACATCTGTTGAACCTTACGGACCCTTTTGTCGAGGTCTCTATTTCCTGTAGAGGGAAGCATGTTGTGGCTGCTGCGGGTGAAGTTCATTTAGAGAAATGCGTGACAGATTTAAAGGAGAGGTTTGCGAAGGTGAGACTTAAAGTATCGCCTCCGCTCGTGTCCTATAAGGAGACGATTGAGGGCGAGATGATGAGTAGTTGAAGCTCCGAATATGTGGAGAAAACAACACTACTTTTCGTGCCACAGAATATTGTCACTGCCAGGAAGCTCATTGATGCCGTGAGGAGGCGCAAGGGGCTTCCCGTGGAGGAAAAAATGGTGTACCATGCCACCAAGCAGAGGACTTTGGCTCGTGTAGAATTAGTTGGAGGATTGTTTATTTATTTTTTTTATTTTTATTTTTATTTTTGCGCGTATGTGTTTAGTTACTTTGTTCTTCTGCTACATATGTTGCATTGATTGAAAATTGTTGTTAGAATTATGCTTTTGCTGAATTTAATTTTGGTCAACATTTGTGAAATTAGTACCAGCCGTAGCCCGTAGAGTTAGATATTACTCATTAAATGGTGTTCTAGTACCAGAATGGTACTAGAACAA